TTATCAACATGAGAAAATCCTACAGACCTTGCGAGGTTTGCGTAGTGAGATATCTTGTGCATTACAAGTGATAACAGGGAGGAAAAAGTTCCGCAGGGTGTACAAAGTGAAGAATCTGCAAGATATATCCGGTGAACGCATGTAAAAGCTCCTGCGGAGTGTGCCTAGAAAAGAATCCTCCAAGATCCTGCAGGAAAGAAACTTGAGGAGTGATTGTGTTAAAGAATCCTGCTTAGCTAAATTCACCAACTGGAGGAAAATTTTCGGCAAAGTAACGTGATGTAAAAATCTGCAGTATATATCCAACAGTCACAAGGTTTTAGCAAATTCATGCATGTCAACGCAGGAATTCGTAAATTTTTTTTCAGTGGGAAGCTACAAGTTTTTGTGATCATGAAAAAATCCTACAGACCTTGCAGGATTTGCGTATTGAGATATCTTATGTATTACAAGTAATAACAGGAAGGAAAAAATTCCGCAGGCTATGCAAAGTGAAGCATCTGAGAGATATATCGCATGAACGCATGTAAAAGTTCCTGCATGGTGTGCCTAGAGAAGAAATTTTCCAGGATCCTGCAGAGAAGAAACTTGAAAAGTGAGCGTGTTAAAGAATCCTGCTCAATTATACTCACCAACTTGCAGGAAAATTTTCGGCGAGGTAACGTGATGTAAAAACTTGCAGTATATATCCACATTCACAGGATTTTTTCAGATACCTGCTTGTGAACGCAGGAATTCGTAAATTATTTTTCAGTGGGAAGTCAGTTGAACAGATTCGATTCAAAGAATCATATAAATTTTTTTATGAGAAACGCGTATTCAGACGACACATCGTGATAAATTTCACTTATCGGTTTTTTGCATTTTCTTATTTCCTGTATTTTTGAAAAAATTTATTGATTTTCCTGTTTTCGAAGAGAAAAAAATCCTCTCCTGTTCTTGTTTTTTGAAAGTGGATAGTACGAACCCTGGAAATCGTATCAAAAAGGAATTCTACGTGTCGTAACATGTAGTGCTAGAAATGTTTGACTGCAATTGGAATGTTGTTCGTCTAACGTTTCTGAATCACTTATCTTCACAATTGTTTTTTATACTTTTGTTATTTTCCAGTATTGACCACTATAATTACCAGTTTTAGCAAGTGTAAGCTTATTGTTCTCGCCATCATTAACAACATCAAGGGATTTATCATAACCTTTGCAATTTTGAAGTTAAACGATAATAATTAATTTCCGGTAAAGTAATCCTCCAATATTGACTGCTATGATCATCAGAGTCAGCAAGCATAAGTTTATTCTTTCCCGCATCGTTAACAATATCAAGAGATTTACCTGCACCTTGCCATCTGGTTGATAAACGAAAATAACCATCTTTAACTGATGTAATTTTCCAATGTTGACCACTATAATTGCCCGTTTTACTAAGTATAAGCTGATTATTATTTTTATCATCATTAACAATATCAAGAGATTTATCATCATCTTGCCATCGTGTTGTTAAGTGATAGTACGAGTTTTCATCAAAAAGTCGTTTTGCAACTATAAAATAAAAATGCATAAATGAACGCACATCTCTTTGTGGAAGTGAACTAACTAAAAAAGAATGGCCTTGGATGCCTTTTGAATGACGTTCAAAGAAAAACACAGATCTGCAAACAACCCAACATGCAAAGTCCTGTGTTCAACGGTGTATGATATGTTCGAAAATAAATTTCACTGCAAGTTTGCTTACCGTGCATCTTATAATTCGAAACTCTACCAGTCAAACATAACTTGCATTACGACCCCCTAAAATTTCATCCGATCGAGCTGCAATGTTTACCACAGATACAAGACAAAATTTGCTAGAATCCACATATTTCTGAATCATTTTCGACCTTTCCTTTCTGAGTTATGGGGTTTTTAATTTCAAAACCCGCTCTTGCATTTACTATGATTTTTGTTTCTGCTATAACTTTTGATTTGAACTATATTTTTTGAAAAAAACATTTGGGTTCTGATAAATGTTGTCTAGTAGCTGTGGAAAAAAGTGCAGCTTGTTCAAATGAAATTTTAGGAGTGTCGTGATGCAAGTCACTGAAAAAACCGGTTATCTCGCAAATTCGACAAAACTTCTGTAGATGTATGGAAGACTATCACACGGTAAAAATTTCAGCTCAATGCGACTTTCTAGGTCAATACAATTAAATGTGAAAAAAAAGACGTATACGCTACCACTAGTATTAGAGTTTAACATTATTTGAAGTTGTCGTTCTTGGTATTTGTTGAGCATTAAAGTATTTTCTAACTTTTCATTATCATCATTACTCATCAGCCGCGTATCCAAGGGGAAGGCAAATGGGCAATTGCCCATTTCATTTGGGGATTTGCCCATTGTAATTTTTATTAGTAAGCTTTTGCCCATTGAAATTTTACTTAGCAGATATACCCAGGCGGTTTCTTTTTGTATAACCCTTAGA